ATTTATTTATTTATTTATTTTATAACGAACCATACTTTATATTTGGAGTATTGTATCCAAGTTAACTCGTGCAATCCAGGTCAAGGTCTGTTTACCCCTCAAGTTTACTAGTTTAACCTTAGGTCTAGGTCAGTCTACCCATATTGGTAACTGGTGCAACCCGGTCGAGTGTAAACTAGTGTAATCCGGGGTTAGGCCAATCTTTCCCTTGTGACTGGTGACAGCCCGAGATATTTAACTGCCTTTAAAATATTTTTAATCTCATTATTGTTTTGGAATGAATTATCCCAGGAAACAATATTGGTGTATACATACATATACGTGAACACATACATGGTGACATTAAAAACTCATTTTCAAAGTCGGGCACATCCTAGGAAATCGACGAAATGTGAGTGTAAGTTTTAATCAATTAATTTTTCAATTATTACAACAACATATTTCAATCTATTCCCCCTATACACGTACACTAAATCATATATTCCCCAGTTATTGTTAAAGTTCTACCAATTCTTAATCAAGCGACAAGAAAATCAATTTTGTCAATCGGTTATTTCTTAGACATACGGGAATCCCGATTTGCGACGTAAACAAATTATATAAACCATTGACGAGCAAATCAGTGAAAATACCAAAGCAGCAGCTTTGAACTGCATTTCAAAAACATGTGAAAATGTTCATGGATAACACGTTCCCATAATTCACTAGTTTTATCGATTTATACACATGGCTGCCTAACGTATCGGAAATTAGATTTCCTTACTTGACTTGTGCGTCTTACATATCACAGTAACTTATGTTTTACCCCAGAGATATTTCACATTAGAGAAGAATATGTTGATATAATAATGACATTTTGCGAGGAAGATTTTATTATTTAGCTCCTACTTCCACATCGTTGTTTCTATAACATCGTATATGTTTACTGATATGATGTAAAACGCAACGTAGAAACTAACTAACTTGGATAATGCTGATATTGTGTTGTCGTTATATCTAACCAAGTAACCACAATTTGTAATTCACATAGCTTGAAATCTTTAAAATCTACAAATGAAAAAAAAATATATATAGTATACTCTATGTGGTCAATATTCACACGTGATACATTATTGTTGCATAGCAACGACACACTGTTTTACATACTGGTACATTCACGTTGGAAAAAACGTGTCAAAATTTACTTTAAACAAGAACATTTTGATATAATTGTCAATAAACATTTTATAATTCAGATGTTGGTTTCCTTGCCTCTTTCAATAATTGGAAATCCCAGTTCCTGCTTACTTGTTCATGTTCGCACAAACTGAGCATATTTTTTAAATCTGCATTCTGACACACTCAAGAAAACCATCTTTGAAATTCATAAGTCTAAGTCTTAATTCTCTTTTTTTAATAAATCCTCATCTCTCGTCTAAATTTATTTCATAAGTCATCATATTAAGCGAGACATTCAGTCTGTCACTAAATACACAGAATATGATATGCATAGACACATCGAAAAATATTTCAAAAAGAAATCATGCGTTTCAGATTTTGCAATATATAAATATGATAAATATGAATGTCAAAAGAATCGATTAGAAAGAATTCAAAGCAGGCGTGGAATGCAAAAAAAGTGTCAGAAAGTACTTGATTCAAAATTCGTGAACATTTAAGAGTCTTCTGCTTGGCATGCTATATTTTGAATTGAATGGCGAAATTAACATTTGATTGAAATGAACTTTTGATTGAAGTGATGTGAGTTTTCTCATTTATTTCCTCCAATTATTGGCTTGTTCATATGCAAATTGGGTCGCATCATGCACGTGTGTTTGTACAATTTATTCAGGTATTGCCCTGAGGAAAGATATTAAAATTTTAGGAAAATATATATTTTCTAAAAAATACTTTCTGTACCATATACTTCATATCGTATATATATATATATATATATATATATGGTGGCAAGAATATAGTTTTCCGTTTTAGAATATACAAATTGAACAATCTACAATTTTGACATGTATTTTGTTTTGGTTTAGTGTCAGGTATCGGTATTTATACATATTTATTAAAGGTGAGTGTTTAAAAAGATACTTTCATAATCGATAGTGATTACAATATAGTGAAAATTATTATAATTTTGGTATATAAATATACATTTGTGTCACATTTGTTTTTGAAACGTTGAGTTTCGATAACATTGCGTCTCCTGATTGATATTGAAGTGTGCATAGTGTGCATTGTGTGTGCCATGGTCGTATGATAAACGTCAAACTTACCTAGTGTTACAGGTCATTGTTATTTGTTTGATGATTGTTTCTAATTAATTCTAAGATTATATCATTGCTAGCAGTGTGAACTTACCTAGTGCCATGCCCAAAAAGTTAATCCTTTATTTATTTCTAAAAGTATTTATTTTCTAAGAATTTTCATTTTTGCATATTATCTACTCAGAATAGACACACATTTACACACACATGACTTTGGCACATCATATATGAATCATACTAAGATCATGACCTTGAATTTCAAACATCGAAAGATGATGTTTTGAAAACAAATGTGACTAAAAACAAGTAAAAACAAATAACATTGTACAAACCTAAAAATGATAACTTTGTCACTATAATATGTTTAATATGTGAATAGAAGATATGGTATGCAACTTATAGTACTGAAGAAATATGTTTTTACCAGAAAATGTGTATTTCACACGCAATGACTCCTAATGAGTTTTGGTTACATCCGGTGACCTAACCCATGTCTCAAAAGTTGATCACCGGGGGAATTGATTCAACAGTACAATGATCCCTTTTTACATGGAGTTAGCTTATACTCTCCTGGGTTGAATGAATTCAATTTATATGCTACTTTTTAAATATTGCTTCCAGACCAGTAGGGAAATTGATATGCTCTCTGTAATACGGATAACACTTAGTTCACCTCGTCGTCGCGGCAGCGCGTGGTTTATTCGGTATAATCTACTTTCAGGCTGTACAAATATATCTCATCAGTGATTTTCAGTTGTTAATCACAATTGACATTAGATGGCGTTAGATAAATCTGACTAATTAGAACGTGAAAAAACGTACACTACATACTTTACGTAGTCATACACTGTCATAAACGTGGAAAGACAGAGGTCGACAAGTTTTCAAAACGACCCAAAGTCACGAAGTGAGCAAAATAACCAGGGAAGATACACACACACACATATATATATACCCCGGTAATATGCGATAAAGGTTCGCCTAAATTCAACGTCACAAAACACATCGGAAAAGTTCGCTGTGTGAAAAAGCAAGTGTAGTCATATACACAACCGAGACGTGCTTACTCATTTGCTCACTATTTTCATGAGCGTAGGTCTCATCTAGCATCTAGCGTAATGATCATCTACTGCATATCACGATATTTTGTATTCGGATCTCATCACACGAGGTATATATCCTCGTCTCAATTTAATGAAATATCGTATTACACCATTTATGAATAAATTTACATTATAATTAAGCAATTAAGTTTTTTTGTTATTAAGTTGTAGTGTTGTTAATTTGCTACCCTTATAACCCATAGTACAAACAGTTGAGAAAAAATCAACAGAGCCACTGTCACTGGTCGCGGAATTGCATTGTTAAGGCGGAATCTCTACGTTGACCGATCTAAGTCGAGTTTCACATATGTATGCATGTCGATATGATATGATCAATGTATTTTTGTATATGCTATAAAACGCGTATCAACTCATTCAGGCACTATAAAAAAAACTGAATTGTTTTTTATACGTTTACAAACCCATATCGAGTGGCCATGCAATAGACCGTGAAAAGAGTTTCGCAGATTACTCGCTGCAGGTGATTTAATATTAACTCACAATGCACCGTTGATGTCGTATAAAGTTAAGATAAGTAATGGGTTTCAAGAATATGGGTCCAATAAAAGTTAAAACGTTAAAGAGAAATGCAGATGCCGTGAATAACAACGTTTTTTTTACTGAAATAGGATTTCTTACAATGTGATCCTGATTGATCACAGCATGTGTCATTTGTATCTGTGAAGAAGAAG